CTCTCTCTCTCTGTCTGTTCTCTCTCATCCACTCTTACTCTCTCATCCGCTCTTCCTTTCTCTTTCTGTCTGTTTTTGTTCTATCTCTCTTCCCATGTTCCTCTCTCATTCCTTCTTTCATTCTATTCAATTCCTCTGTAACAGTCTTGTACATGACAGGCAGTATTCTAGTTCACGAAAACATTATTAGTTTTGCACTATTGAGTTACCATGGTGTTATCTCTAATAGTTGAGCGCCCACGTTGCTCCGAATGGGCGAACGGTTCGACTGAACATCATGCAAATTGCAGTGACCTGTTGGTCTTTACCTACTAACAATCATGATAATTACATTAAGCTAAAAATTAATAGCTATGCTTGGGAAAGCAAAACTGGACGGCAAAGCTTCTCAGAAGATTACTTGTTTTTAAACGCCGGCTAGAATAATGAATTTAAGAATAAATTGATTAATCAATGTAATGGGTGGTATTAACTTGTTAACATTATTATTCCTCATAGTTATGATGCCAAAAATAACCTGTCCAGTAGTCAATGACTAAACAAAATGTAAATTATCTATCCATGAACATTCTTTCGACTTTTCTTTTCCGATCTAACTCAACCCCAACTCAAGCCATTTTTGTTTATAGAGTCCATCGTCACTCATAATATTTAACGCGACACAACACATTCATAATCAAGACAAACATATTTGGGGGGGGGGGGAAACAAGGAAGAAAGCAATGAATATACGTTTGATATGACACTTTTAATATTGATATGCTACATGCATGCTCTGAAATGTACAATAGATACGATCAAATATAATATTTGTATGTTACATGATGTACATTAAATTACAAGATGTTACAAGTTTGATCTACTGGTGAAGTAAATGATCATCAACTTGATATACATTTATTTCCACTCCTCCCCCCTGAACTTTTTTATGTACTTATGACTCTGTTTGACCGGGTCGTTTTAGTATTTACATAAATATCATATTACAGCCTGAATTATTGCGGGCTGAATAAAACATTTCAACCATAAAATTATGAATTATACAATTCTTTCACTGAAATATGTATACATTTTGTTGGTTTATGGTCCCCCGCAGCGATTCTTTCCCTGAATATCGATGTTTCATTCTCTCGTATATTTGAGATGTTTCATTATTATTTGCCAAAGAAAATAATTTTCAATTAGAGGATTTTTCTGGTTTTGTTTGGTTGTTAATTGCATAAATTTCCACTCTATGTGCACATACATACATCTTACAGGCATGTTTCACTCCAAAGATGTTTGTTTTCGTATTGTTTTTCACATAATCAACCCCAAAATATGAACAAGTATTCCATATCATAAATTAATCTCTAACGATTATTTCCCTTGTGTGTTGGGAAACTGTCAATCAAGCTATAGAGAATAGTTGTCCGGACGCTTTGCCGTTATGGTCGAGGTTTGTCCTGTGTATAGTTGTCCTAAGGTGATGGTGTCTAGGGTAATTGTCCGGGTGTTGTCGTCTTAAAAGGTCCTGTTCCGTGATGGTTGTCTAAGCTGATATTCCAGGCCGGTGGCTCGTTGCCCAAATATCAAACGCCAATAATGTACATGAAAGTAGCCCCACGCATTAAAATGCAGTAGAAAATACAAAATATTTTCCAATTTCTTGTTAAAATTTTCCATTATGAGTCTCATCTAAAAATAGAACTGCCTGAGCTTTCCAAGGCTTTCCTTTCGAGGTGTGTGCGTTCGATTTTGCATGTCCTTTTTAGCTATATCTGATCTCCTTTCCAAGTTCATTGGCCAAAGTATACAACATGGTTTTCGAAACTATTTCACTTATGACGCATTCATCACATGCTTCACTTGGCGAAGCAATGAGTTGGGGGTTTAGTGTGCTTGCCAAAATCTCATTGCTTTCGGATAAGCTACGGCATTTGTAAAAAATTACATTGTATAAGAAATATTATTACATCATATTTACTACGTGAATCACAATTTACAACCGACAAGATGTATGGCTTCCACAATCTTTGTTTGCATACTGTAAGTTAAGTCCAGCGAACGTAATTCACATTTCGCTTGTTTTTCTTTTCTTTTCATTTTTTTTTTTTTTTTTTTATCTATTCCCTTTTTTGAATAAATCCTCAGCATTCACTTTATCAGAAAAGAATGAAAATTACATTAAACGTCAACACAGAATCGCTGAAAAATGTATTTGACTGTGATATTATGTAACAATGAATAACAGGTCAACACTGTAAATTTCAAGTGAAGCTAACAACGTGGAGGGGGGGGGGTGGTGTCGAAGGGGCAAACCGGAACGGGAAAAAAAACTATGAAAGTATTTTTTTGTGGTAAAAATTGCCAATAGATCCGACCCTTTTTCAGATCCTCTGAAGGAGCGGCATTGATTTTAAGACCCGAAAATGGAAGATTTTTTTCCGGGGGGGGGGGGGACTTTTGAAATCATGTTCCTGGGGGAAATAATCATTAACAGCATATTTAAAGTAATGTTTAAATGTATAAATACGTTATCCTAGATATATTTCCTTGACATAACCCAGTCACAGCAACTATATCGACACTAGAATGATACTAGGTCAGGAAGAAAAATCAAATCGTCCCGCAAGGACAAGGAAGGAAATAACAGGTGGATGTACATGAACGTTATGGCACATTGGACCTTTGCGCAAGAGGAAGAGTCCTTTACAAGTCACGTTAACCCACACAATTATTTAATTTTAAAAGCCTATTTAAAGCAATTTCATGGTTTTAAAAAGGAGCGGCATTCATTTGAAGAACTGAGAATGTAAGATTTCCTTCCTTGGGGGGAGGGGGGGGGGGGGCTTTTAAATCATTATCCTGGAAACAAAGACCTGAGAGAAAAAGTTCGTCCCCCTTTAAAAAAAACAGGATCAGCCCCTGTACATAGTTAAAATACTGTACATTGGACAGATTCCAATATTTCATGTTAAACATATATAATGTAATGTCTATCAATATTGACATTACATTGAATATGTATGTCAAGATAATGTATAAATATATTATATAAATACATTATCCTTGATATCTGTCCTTGACATAACCCAGTCACAGCAACTATATCGACACTAGATTGATTGATACCAGGTCAGACAGAAACATTAAATCATCCCGAATGAACAGGATGTTCGATTTTGTTTAGATTAGCGGGGTGTATGGTGGCACTGAAGGGACATCGCGAATAGACGAATTCGCGAATTATTCACGATGAAATTGGCGACGAAATTCACGATATCGTCAATTTCGTCGTGAATAATTGGCGATAAAATTCACGACGTCGTCAATTCCGTCGTGAAAAGTTGGCGTTAAAATTCACGACGAAATTGACGATATCGTGAATTTCGTCGTGAATAATTGGCGATAAAATTCACGACGTCGCCAATTTCGTCGTGAATAATTCGCGATTTCGTATATTCGCGATGTCCCTTTAGGGCCACCGTAGGGGTGTGACAGGGGTACAAGGAAGGAAAAAAAAGTGGATATACGTAATAGTACATTGAACCTTAAAGCAAGAGGGAGGGGCCTACCTAGTCATGTTTTCCCACAAAATTATTTATTTTTAAAAGCTTATGTAAAGTAAATTCCTGGCAAAGGTTCAAATCGGGTAGAAGAAAAAGAAGAAGAAGAAGAAGAAGAAGAAAAAATATGAAAATGAAGAAGAAAGAAGAGAAGAGACGCATTTCGAGTGTTTTTATTTGATATATTTTTAAAAGCTTATGTAAAGTAAATTCCTGGCAAAGGGACAGATCGGGTAGAAGAAGAAACAAAGAAGAAGAAGAAAAAAAAAATATGAGAATGAAGAAGAAGAGGAAGAGACGGAGTTCCAGTGTGTTTATTTGAGAGCAAATCATCCCAGTTTTTCAACCTGTCGAAAGGTTAACTCATTGACACGCAAATGAGGAAATTGTAAATTTATGACACGTTCAATTTTTTTTTTGTAAGTGGGAACTTTTATGTGGCTGACAAAGGATTTAGATAAAAATACATGTACATTCTAGTACATACTCAGTAAAGGTGGCAGCTTCTAAATTCATTGATGTCTTCTGTCCTACTGAGAGCAATTGCGCCATCTACGTTAATATACAGTACACGATCTCCTTCCCTTCACGGTCCGTGTTCGTTATTTCTCATTATATACTTTTTTTCTCAAAAATATATTGAGGGTATATTTGAATTTGAATAAACCTTTACAAACAATTCTTTCGAGCCTTTGCACTTCACTGGTGATACTTTTGATGTGGTCACATACATCCAACTCAATAATATAATATTATGTATAAAAGTGTGGTAGAGCACGGTTATTCACTATTATACATTTAAAGATGAAGTTGAGTTTGGGTCATGCGATTGCATTGTGAAATTTACAAAAACACTGTACACAGAAAGATGTACATGTATATGGGACTATACGAACACGTAAAAATCCTACCCTCGATTTGTACGATGTTACATGAAATATTTAGAATATAAAGGCATTTGAAGAGCGATGCTTTTCAGGGAACATGTCTTATCTGATGTTCTTTCACAGTTGCATAATAAGAATGATAAAGCTCACAAATTATTTTTCACCTCTTCCCAGAACTCAACCTTCTCTTTAAAATAATTACCTAATCCCGTCTCAGATGTACGTACTTGTAGAAACAACAGTTGGTATTAAATGCATACTTTATAAGTGATTTTCAACAATAACGTATTAGGTGATCCAAACATGATTTCTATGGGACATACAATAGGTGTTGGAATTGCCTTGACCTGATTTTTCGAAAATAGTGGCGATTGTGTTTTGATTTTTGAGAATTCTAAACAATTTTTAAAGTTTGTATAGGCGTTGCGGCATGTCTTAAAATTCGGTGCACTTCGTCCAGTAGTAAAATAAAAAGGAACGGTCGGTCACAAGACGATGGATATTAAACCAGAGGGAACTTCGTAGACCAAAGTGGCTTCTAGCAAAAAAATAAAACGTCGACTCACGACTTTCCCCCCTTTTTTACGGGATAACAGTCCTCTCTTCCTCGTCCGGAATGCTAAAGTGCACCGCTTGTCTCTCCTCGCTGACAACATTGACCGTGGTCATTCCCAGTCGAACCGATGACCCCACCGTCACCGGATTGTTGTTTGAAGAGGAGGTCGAACGTCGACTCGTCAACCTCTGTCTCCCTCTGGCGACGGGTTTAGACGTACGCCAGCAGTGTCTGACGTCACGAGCCAGCCAGCTTGGTGGTGAAGATGCCGTATAGGACTGGATCAACACACGTGTTGAGGTACCCGAGAGCGATGAGGACATCGAACAGCCACGGAGGGTCAGGTGGTTCCGACTCGTCCTGCCAGCCATGATCGACGTGGTACCAGGTCGAGACGACGTAGTAGGGCGACCAGCAGATGACGAACCCGCCGACGATGGCGGCGGTGAGACGAAAGGCTCTCATGCGAGCACGTGGTATGCCATCATTGCCGCCATACGGAGCGTGGTCTTCCCGGGTTTCTTACTCCAACTCGTTACTGAAATGATCAAATGAAAACGAAGAAGAAGACAATGATTATAAGAATAAAAACTGATTGTTAGGTGGCCTCTGGTCATAATAATAAGAAGGAGATAATCGTATGTGATAGACATGCAGGTCGTTGTTCAGTTGTTGGATGCTTTTTCCATTATGTTACAATCATCGAAAGGGAATGTGTGATTCAGAATCCTATATATTATTTCTAAATCATCATTCATCAGAAAAATAATGTAATGTAAGCTTTGAAGTAAAATGTTCAAATCAACCGTTCTTCATTTTTCCAAACCCGTATTAATTGCATACAAACAAACTTTCTTTCAATATATTGTTTGCCACTCAACAGGAAGGGAAGCAATAGAGAATCAATACGCGTCTCTACATTTTGTGCCATTTCAATCAATGAGCATTGTATATGATTGAGAAACAAGAAATTATTTAATAATAGATATTTTACAAGGTAATTTCAAACGTCTCGCCTTCCATGAACGACTCATACTTTCTATTTTAAGATGATCGGAGTCCAGTTAATGATTTGTTCAATTCTTTTTTTTTTCTCCAAAGTGAACTCTAATACTTCTGAATTGGTCAAGGGAATACTATTATATTTTCTCTAGTCATCCACCACAGTGATGTTTACTATGGAACGTTTTAATTTATTCAAATATAAGCCAGAAAATGACCTGTAATGTTTTATTTGATTGATAGCCTTTTGTGTGTGTCATTCATTTGAGCAAATATTGCTGGATCATCAGCGAATTGTGATATATTTATTTCAACTGTTTCAAAAAGTGTAACTCCTCTAATTTCCAGATCGCGTCGTATCTTAATAGCTAAACACATCTGAAGCAGGTTAACACATAAGTGCTGAAAGGGGCTGACGCACACCCCTGAAATGCTTATTTCTTCTGCTAAAAATCCATTTCAACATTTGTATATATAAAGTGGTGACCCATTTCCAACACTCTCTTTTAATTCCACATCTTTGTACACGTTCAAATAATATTTTTCTATAAATCAGATCGCAAACTAATCTCTATCTCACTTTTGTTATTACGCAATTAAAATTGAACTCCAATCAAAATTTCTCTTTTCTAATGACATAAAATATTTAGGTCCCCCCCCCCCCCCCTTTCTTCAAACATTTTTACTCTTGACCTAATAATTGAGCCTTGGCAATTATTCAAGCCTGTGTTTTTATTCATTTCCATTAAGAATTCTGATTGCTTTTCTTTTCGTTTCCGCTGTCTGCCTTTTTGTTTCCGGTAATGGGCTTTCGGTGGATTCGCAAATTCTGAGGTAACTTCAGAAAGATCATCTTCGGTTACCACGTCTCCTTCCGATTCGCATGATCTTCCTTGTGTATCACGGTATATAGAGCGCTGTACTCCGCGACCGAAAAGGTTTTCACTTCACAGTTATCTATTACCTTGGCAGGGTAATCCCAACAATTATTGTTAAACTTATATAGATGCTCTGGATGACACAAAGAGTAACAACTGTATTGAACCACGCTTTCGATTATGTAATCTTCACGGCCATCTGACACATGCAAAATATGTCTTAAATCCGGATTGGATTACCCGGGGTGGTATTTCTAATTATTTTTCCAATGTTCTGACATTCACGCAGATTATTTAATTGAATATAACACCGTCTCTTCGAATGTTTCTATGAACACCATTACGCTGATAGATTTATGAAACAAAGGTGGCGCTCTACACGGGCGACACAGATACATGTATTTGGTCTTACCGAAGTACAACAACAGTAATAGTTATGATAACAAATACTACTACTACTGCTACTGCTACTACTGCTAATAATAATTATGATACTAATTACAATATTGATAAAAAATAATAGAATAATCATAAAAATAACAACAATATAATAATAATTATACTATTCCAATGTATTGGTATTATTATTAGCACTATTATAATTATTATAATAATTATTATTGTGATTGTCATAATTATTATAATTATTATACATATTATTATCATTATCATCAGGTTGAATGGTAACATGGCTAGCATAGACATATCTGCAACAACGTATGTACAAAATTATGAACGCTGTATGTAATATTTGTGTGAAAATTATTGAATTCATACAGAATTTAAGCTCCTAATATGAGCAGCTGCATGGGGCCTTCTTTGCATCTTAAGTTACAATGTGGGGGTACTGAATTATACTGTATTATACTGAATAGATATGTCGAGAATACATGGCAAATAATTATAGTAGAGGGAATAAATTGTTCTTGATATGTCTTAGCGGGCAGATTCAACTTATCGTGGGTGAATTTATTAAACTAATGATGCAATTTGATGTCTAAACGTGTGATGCATTATATCGATTTGAAAATATTTTACCTCTCAAATGTTGGTCGAGTCACTCTTGCATTTTTATCTTCAAGACCCATCGTTTTGCTCATTGTTTGTTTGGGAATTTGTAATATTGATACAAATGGATTTTCTTCATCAGGAAGGTAAGAAAAAAAGATTTCATTTAAAGGCTTTCCAATCTAAGTACACAAAAAACAAAAATAATTAATGTGGAATGTACACATACAAAAAAAGATTATGAATAAAATTTGTCACTTTTACAAACCACCCATTTTTCTAATATATTTTTACTATAAAAAATATATATATATTTGTTAATCTGTTCGATAGAGTAGATTTATTTGTATATTTTTAACAGAGTCATTGCGCCCTGTAAATGCTGTAAATCATCATCGTCATCAGCCTAAATTATTGATATACACTGTACATTTTTCTGGAACACAATGTACTCAATCAAACAGGGACATCTACTTTCAACGCACACTGGCAGGAAAGTATCGATTATGTGTCCTGAGAAATCTTAATCCTACCATGCCGTGGGTGCCTTTTCTAAAACATCTGATTCAGCGATACAAAAAGGATCAAGACGGTCGAGTTAACGAGAAGGTTAGGTTTTTGTAGAGGTGAGATAAAATGTGAGCTTTCTACTTTGTTTAAATGCAAGTTTGGAAGAATATCTTAGTTAGAAGTGTCCTCTGAAACGGATAATGATAATAATGTGTCTTGTTTACTCAGGGTAGCCTCATCAGTATTAATACAGTTCTCCCTGAGGGCCCTGCAATCATATTTATTACCCCGGCTTGCTCTTCAAATGCTTCCATATTCAAAATAATGACGGGATGGCTGACAAATTTGGACCAAACATTCATGCCACATTATGTTGTGTAGTCCCATGTCCTCATGTCTTGTGCAATGCATGACTGTGATGCCCAGCAAGACTGGCTCCCGGTGTCGTCATGATGATCATTTCAAAAACTCACAGTATACATTAATTCTTACGTTCCACAAAATCAACATTCCCCACCGACCATTTACGAACTTTGTTAAGTGCCATGTTGCAACTTATTTCATGCACCTGTTATGAACAATTGTATGTCAATAGTAAGAATTCGAATTGCATACATTAATTATGGCTAGGTAGGACAAATAGTATGGCTTGTCCTACCTAGCAACACATAATATATGCAATTCGCATTCTATTAAAATACAATTATTCATAACAGGTGAATGAAATAAATTGTAACATGGTACTTAACGAAGATTTGTGCTTTAAATTAGATTACTTTACGAAAATGGCCGATTGCTTCTAACATTTTCTTGCATAATTTCGTGACTAGTACCTGACTTATATTTAAAGGGTGACATCGTAAAATAGTCAAATAAAATATAATTGATTGCTCGGCGCTCTCCTAATTTCCGCAACCTAACGCAGCGTGGTAAACATGCTATCGACGAAAGTCACCACGGCCTTAGGTCAACTCGGAAGCTTTTAAATGCAATCAATCATGACTTGATTCGTCTTTATCTTCTAGATGCAGACGTATCTGTCATAATGCGTTATCGGATCGATTCTATAAGTGAGAATAACCCGAAGGAGGAAAATATTGTTAACCCACATCTGCTTTTGGACGCTTTTTGTTTGACATGGAATTAAGACTTCTGTAGGGAATTTGTATGCAAGTATGCAATTATAATTATAATGGAAGACTGGCAGGATTAGGAAATCTTTACGTGTTTTGCCCTTTCACTAAACATGTTAAACGTGCTTATTAAGGAGCTTTGATAGTAGAGCTGGTAAGAAGAAATAATACTCGAATCAATCTGGTATTGAATATCCAAATCATTCACTCTTGACACGAAAGGAAGCTCTTTTATTATTAGAATTTAAGTCATTGGCCGCAGTCCGTCTGTAATGAGGCATTTAGGTTTTGTAAATATAGTCGACCCAGTTCATAAATAAGAAAAAAAGTTCGGAGAGAAGAAATCTCTACCGCGCCACAATCGTTTAGTCACTCACTGTGCCCATCTCACTTTCATGCCTTTGACTTGGGGAAAAACGACTAAATGGATTGATAGAGTCATTATCTGCTAATTTGCTTTTATACCCCGCAATTTGTCAGTTTGATTGGGAGTATGATTCTGTATTTTACCCCGCAAGCCGAAAAGGCCTTTATTCACATCGCACATGAACAGCAGCTGTTCTTGACTCTTAATTATGATACAAATTGTTTAAATTCAATTTTCTAAAACAAGTGACACGAATTAGACCTTGGTTTGACTGACCTATTTATTTCTCAAAGCATGAATATTCATGTAAATTGTAAATAAAAATGATATGCGAAGGGCCTGTGGGTTATTTGTAGTGCTTAGCAAAATGACATGATTATTAAAGGGACAATCACAATCATCTGCAAGGTAGGGGTAGGATGGAATAGGGGACATCAACGATCCCCCCCCCCCTTCTTCCCCACCTCCCGGCCCGAAAATTGGTAAATTACCCATGTCTGTGCAGTCATCGTCCAATATTCGGGTGATATCTTATTCTTTCTATCTTATCTACTATACTTTAATGACTAAACTACGTACAAGGCCAGACAAAATATACTATACCATGAAGAGATTACCAATGTAATAATAATTTTAATTTGTAGGTCTAATCATGTTGTTAATAAAGTATATCATTTTCGGATATCAAAGTTGCATTGCAAATTTGTGATAATTCTATATCATGTCTATAACGTACTATGGTTTATAATTTGTTGTTTAGTTGTATTTTCTAGGAATCTGATTATAAAATAGATTAATATACAATATCAAATTATAAATTTCCATCGTGGAGGTAATGATGTGTAAACGAAAGAGAGAAGAGAAGAGACGAGAATATAGTATAAGAGGAGAGGAGAGAAGAGAAGAGAAGAGAAGAGAAGAGAAGAGAAGAGAAGAGAGAGAGAGAGAGAGAGACATACACAGAGAGAAATACTCTCGAATATGTGCATGGCAACACCACCACAATGATTAAGATCCCGCTGGAGACTATCAGTGACGTGGTAAACCGTTGAAGTCAAAGAAGTGACATGATTACATGCCAGTATAATATTATACCATTCGATATAATATATTATACCAGAACAAATCAAAAACCTATATGTTATATGTTTTATAAAGGACATTTTCCGGTCTATACCACGGTGGTGGATTGAGTGATTATTAAAAACTAATATTCCAGTAATTAAATAAACTAAATGCTATCATAATCGTTTTTGTTTAAATCTTTAAATAGTTTCAAAGCTCACACAAGCAAGACATTGAAGACAGTGACTACGATTGTTTTAGCAATAGTTTTTGCATTTCTCAAATGAAAATGATGTATGTCTGACAACAGTCCTTCTCCTTCTCGCTTGTTTGTTTAGCATGGAATCTATTTTCTAACGAAATACTATTTTGGTAGGTATTTCTTGTGGTTTTTGCAGTGAAATAAACCAAGTATTGACGTTGTATTGGTCCGTGGCTAATTAAGCTGATTTTAAAAAGAGGAGTAATCGTATACCGTTCAAAGGATAAACCTTGTTGAGTCGTGTGAGAATCCAGCATTTTCTCTGGATATGGCGCCGAGACGTATACGTCGCCTCTACATACATCTGCTATCAGGATGAACTACGCCCTGCTTTCAGGATGAACTACGCCCTGCTATCAGGATGAACTACGCCCTGCTATCAGGATGAACTACGCCCTGCTATCAGGATGAACTACGCCCTGCTTTCAGGATGAACTACGCCCTGCTATCAGGATGAACTACGCCCTGCTATCAGGATGAACTACGCCCTGCTATCAGGATGAACTACGCCCTGCTATCAGGATGAACTACGACCTGCTTTCAGGATGAACTACGCCCTGCTATCAGGATGAACTACGCCCTGCTATCAGGATGAACTACGCCCTGCTATCAGGATGAACCGCGCACTGGTGCGGCGCCTCTATACACATCTGCTATCAAGGTGAACCACGCCCTGGTGTGGTGCCTCTATACACCTGCTATCAGGGTGAACCACGCCCTGGTGTGGTGCCTCCATATACATCTGCTATCAGGGTGAACCACGACCTGGTGTGGCGCCTCTTTACACATCTATCATGATGTACCACGCCCTGTTGCGGCGCCTCTATACACATCTTCTATCAGAATGAACTAGGCCCTGGTGTGACGACTCTTTACACATCTATCATGATAAACCACGCCTTGGTACGGCGCCTCCAGGCGCAGGGGGGGGGGGGGGGGGTTGGCGTTTAACCCCCTTGAGTTTTGTTATATGTGTGTATTTTGGAACAACCCCCCCCCCCCCCCCCCTTTTTGGGTTTTTTTTTTTTTAATTAAATAAAATAAAAAATAAAAATAAAAAAAAATATTTAGCGGCTGGCTGAGTCGTTGCAAAATTTTCGGCCCTATTTAAAAATGATAACCCCCCCCCCCCCCATCCCTGAAAAAAATCCTGCATACGCTACTGGGCGGCTCTATAAACATCTGCTATCAGGAAGAACAACGCCCTCGTGTGGGGCCTCTATACACATCTTCTATCAGGATAAACCACGCCCTGGTGTGGCGACTCTTTACACATCTATCAGGATGTACTACGCCCTGGTGTGGCGTGTATATACACACCTGCTTTCTGGGTGAACTACACCGTAGTACATATACGGCGCTTCTATATATACTTTACCTGCTATCAGGGACAACTACATATACGCCCTATAATGTGGTGCTTCGTTATACACCTGCTATTGATATGAACTACACCCTAGTGTAATGCCTTTATAAACACCTACTATCAGGATGAACTACACCCTGGTGTAATGCCTCTTTATACACCTGATATCAGTACTACGCCCTGGTGTAATACATCTACATACACCTGCTGTGAGCTGACTTGGCGCCTCGCCAAGAGGCAATCTTCATTTTCCACATTGGTACTTGGTTTTGCTGCTACGTGTATGTCAACGTATGTGTGATGATGAACCTATGCTGAGCCCTCTATTTGACGCATTTAAAACCATCTACATGCATGTCTAACATTCGTCGACCTTGATTAGATTCAATGGAATAAATGATTAAGAATCAATTTTGTAATAAATATATTATGTAATAAACATTTGTTCACCATGAGGAAAGCTTAGTGATAACTTAGAAGGATGCTATCCTAGATTAATATTCTAGACTGAGGTATTTTTATCCTTCAAAAAAGTATTTATGTTGGATTTCTCACAACTTTTGAATCCCAATCTAAAGTGGATTGTTTGACCTTAGATCACATAACTTGTAAGCAAAAAGCATTGGGGAAAGGGGCTCCTCAAACTACACGTATCGGGAGACCATAGTCATGATTGTGAGGTGATGCAGAATAGTACACTCTACGGACGTACTAACCACGTGATATCGTATGACGTATTTTTCCTGTCTTACGTGATATCAATGGCTACCTTTTTACGACCAAGACTGACAAGAAATGATTACACCGTCACCAGTATACGCATATAACTAAAGCGCATTCTAAATCATGTCTTCCCCATGAAACCCCATGTCATCAGTGATCAGTTTCCCTTTCCGTCCTACAATACCTCAAGCTGTATAGCCTGCGACTATATAGTCAACTATACACACACATCCCTCTTAAATTAGTTCTCTCTTCATTTTGGCTGGCGCGTAAACGGACCCGTTAAATATTCCCGATGGACTTATAGACCGAAGCTGATTAGTACAAATTGGAACAGCCACGGGGGTGGTACAGAATTCATGACAGGTTATTCATGAAGATTTCCCGATAGAATTTAAGCTAGCGTTGCACTCTAGAGACTTTGAGCTCGAAGAACATTCCGGGAATGCAAAGTTTCCAACATACTTTCCCCATCTTTCCCCCTCTCTATCTCTGTTTCATCATCATGATCATTGTGGGGGAGGTTAGAGTACTTGCTATAAGCATGGACCTACTTTTTGCAGAAAATACTAAATCATCTTGCAGATCTGCTACAAAAATACTCTTCGCTGCTGAGTCTGTTACGAAGACCTTCACCGACCGTTCTTGAATGAACAAGAAACAAAATTCCCAGTGAATGTGTATACTCCATCACAGTGTCGTGATAGAGAATAATGCAGTATCAATCATATAGTTTTATCAATTGTGAGGGGCATCGAATACTCGGGCATTCGACAATAGGGACTTTTAGATTCGCACGAAGACAACGGGAATTGCTACGATCGACGTTCTTTTAATGCACTGCCTTGAATGGACGTCACACGTATCAGTCCACGCAAAACAAAAGTCCCTAGTATACGCATTGTTGACGTGACGTTGCACAATAGTCCAACGGATATCTTAACCGATTGTTTGTGATTTAAAAGTGGGTTATTTTCATTTGTCGGGGGAAGGATTACAAAAGTTTACCAGTCCACTGGGGGCCAACAAATTAATCCTGTGCCTATAAAACGGGGAAACATAATATTCATAATAATTGTTACAGAAATAATATGGGGAAAAATCATTTGAAAGATACTTGGAAATAATATGACAAATGTAATAAGTATGCATTTGTATAATATATCAATAAAATTGGTAGCATCTGCAAAGCATTTTAGCAAATGCATTGTCTTGCCGATCAGAACTGATTTAATTCCCTCCGTTATTTTACTCCAGAGAGTTGTTACAATACATTTGATGGAATAAACATATCGACATACATATCGATTAGCAGAGAGGGGAAGAGAACGAGAGGAAAGTGAAAGATAGAAAAGGAGAGAGAGAGATAGAGAGAGAGAGAAAAACCTTTATTAATTTTCTTTAAAAATAAAGCAGATACTTACATCCATTTGTTCTTCTAACGATTTTCCAGACGATGGATGAATAGCAAGCGAATATGGTTGCCAAGGGAACCACGTACATAATGAGAGTGACGAAAATATGATAGAGCCACCACAGCCGGAAGTACTTTTCCTTGAAGCCGTAATCGACACACTGGTAGAACGTCGGGTTGAAAGATGGTGACATGAGCTCGTGGACCACGAGCTGGAGCGGGAAAATAGAAAAGTAGGAGAAAAGGGGAGACATTTTTAGAAAGTTGTGGACATGGTGGATGAAAAAGAGAATAGGCATGAAAACAAAACTTATACAGTGACTTAATAATAGTTACAACTATACTTTTCGCTAGTTTTGTTTTTATTTCTCTCTATGTCCCTCTCTATGTCCCTCTCTCTCTCTCTCTCTCTCTCTTCATCTCTCTCCCTCTCTCTCTCTCTCTCTCTCTCTCCCAGTCTCTCTCCTTCTAGCCCTCACCGTTACCCTCTACCACCCCTCTTTATTCATAACTAATACATTAGGTGTCGCATTGGAATATGAACTCGCACAAATTCGCCATATCCACTGGACCGCTAACGTTGTTAGTCATTTCAAGATAACGCAATGATAGGCTATTTATCATTTGAAGTAAACGTTACCATTCGAGATCCATTGAGAAAAACAAAATTATTGTGGTTCTAAATTCGGTGGTATAGCGTAATCCAGGTCGAAGACCTCTCCCTATTTACGGCTGAATTATCATGAAATTCAATAATGGATTTCCTTGTGATAGAACGTCATAAAGGTTGAGACGAAATTGAGATATTTTCACTGGACAGTTCGCAGACAATTTAGACGATTTCTTCTCTCCAAACCTGTCGATTCTCTTCAAGTAATAGTTTGAGGGGTGGAGAAAGAGGACGGCAGAAAATCAATCGCAAATGGAAATCGATGACAGTCTCGTTTGGCGCGATTTCTTGGCCGGGTCGGGTCTCACAATTGGGCGTTGAGTTTCACTCAATTAGAGGTAATGATTTCATGACGGTGTCAATCTTACGTGCCAACGCAACTACATCCACGTCGTTGAAAGTTCATTTCTTCTTTATGAAAAGAAGGTGGTTCCGGGGGTTCCGCGACTTGTTCAAAAATTGAATATTCCATATCGTGTGCTTTCCAGGAAAATATGGAAATCAGTTCTTAAGTTCCGAGCTTCCATTAAAGTAGGGATTGAATGTAGTATAGCCCGTACCCATTCATCAGAAATAGCGTTGTAAACAGGGATGCAAATATAAGATATGACATGTTTTTTTTCACCTTTTATCATTAAGTTTTCTTGATGGTTTTTAACAAAACCTAAAGGGATATGTACACGGTCTGCATTACGCCTTCAAAAACTCAGTTTCCATGGTTATATACAATTATATTGGATATTATGTATATTCAAATTAAAATGAAAATCTAGAAAGGTCAAATTGTACATTTGAACGTCGGTATTAAGCAACTTGATAACTTTTACCGTCATTCCCCGAGCCCATCTCAGAAAAAATACAAAACGATGGAGGAAAAAAAAATCTCGAAACCACACGTTGGACCAAAGACATAATGCATTGTCTGAAACGTAAACAACTCAAGGGTAATTGATGCATAGCTTTGATCGCATTTTTGTTATGTGATGATTTGTACATGTCTGCATGTGATAACATCATATCCACATAATTCCCACATGTCATGCTTTCCACGACAGTACCTAGCCTACAGAATAGAAATGGTTTATGGCAAAAATGATCGAAAGCTGTTGACAAGGGATCCAGCCATCGGATTGCACGATGGTAATCAATCCACTGCCCTCGTTTTGTCGATCTCCAATCTCTGTTTATCATTGGGATGCGATTGTGCGTGAAATCACTTTACTGTAGAACCAGCGAAATTGTTAAGTGAGACCTGATTTAAAGATGGGCATCAGTAATGGGCATAGCTGAGAAACTGAAAAACACGAGACGAAGGCAATCTTCAATATTCCTATACAATATTTTCATTCATCAAAGAGAGAGAGAGAGAGAGACAGATAGAGAGAGAGAGAGAGAGTCCTTGCAGGCAAACACCAACCTGGGGTTCAAGTTTGTTTGTTAGTCGCGGAACTTAATGAGCTTTTGTCGGCTCATATATTGACTTATAAGGGTGTTCAAAATTTAGCTATTTTTATGTTGTCAAATTTGTGATGAACCCTACCCCCCCCCCCCCCAGCATTAAATATTTGTCTAGCGTATTCGACTTTTTCGCTGTCTCCGAATGACAGCAGTTTTCCACGGGCGTCTTGAAAGATCAAGTTTGGTCAATTATAATAATAATATCGACCATAATATTAATCGATAATATTTACAGATGTACTATTACTCCGGTCATCCGAATCAGGCTTGCCCGCACAAAATGTATGCACATTCTCCACTCCCTTGGGGGCATTCCAACCCGGCTCAATTTACAGACGCTCACAATGATCACTTGGCCTATGTCCGCTCATGTATTTACTTTGGGGTGTTCAAAATTCGGCTATTTGTATGTCGTCAAATTTGTAACGACCCCCCCCCCCCCTAACGGCAACGGTCTTCCACAGGCGTCTTGAAAGATAACGTTTGGTAAATAATAATAATAATATCCTCCATAATAGTTGATAATATTTACAGTTGTACTATTACCCTGGTCATCGGAAATTAAGGCTTGCCCGCACAAGATGTATGCACATTCTCCACTCCCTTGGGGGCGTTCCAACCCGGCTCCATTTTACAGACGCTCACAATGCTGGATGGAGGGTGGCAAATGTGGATTAATGTCTTGCTAAAGGACGTTAGTTCAGAGCTGGGATCCTCTTGGATTGAGAGTCAGTTTATTGAAAGAACGACACCCCTAAGGGTTTTGGAATAAAGTCTTCTAGAATACAGATATTTTATTACTGTTGAATATTAATCACATATGATTTCCGATTTGATTTAAAGGGCAATTCATCGATTGTAATAAGATTATTTTTATGAAAGCAGGAAAAAAGATAAACAGAATGGTGAAAGTTTGAAATGAATCGGACCAAAAATAAGAAAATTATAGATCACTAAATAAGTGCGAATTTCATAATTGGCAATTTGGTCCGTTGGTTCGATTCATTCTCACAAAGAATTACATAAAATGCAATAAAAAACATTAAAGAAAATAGTAACATTACAGTAAAGCATACTCGAAAAAAGGATAATGATGATGATAATGTGGAGGGGAATTGCACAGGCCAGTAGCCTGTCGAGGAAGACCCTCGACAATAACAGAACCCATTGCCTACTGGAGCCATGTGGTTCTTTTATTAAACCATGTTAAAAAAGATAATTCAGTAGTCTGGAGGTTAAAGATAAAGGTGAGTTCTGGTTTAAAAACAAATAATAATAATTGTCACAGAATCAAACAAAAATTACACTGAATGTTAAAGATTACAAATAAATTTCATTTGCCAAACAATTTTGGAGGAAAATGTATACTGGCAGAGTAATGAGCATAGAAAGATAAGGAAACTAGGTTAGTAGCCCCCGACACCATTTGTGTAGTCCCATATACATCTTTCTGTGTACAATGCTTGTTAATTTACCAAGACTGGGCCAAATTTATTATGATTTTGATGACTCCAGAACTTTGCAGTACACACCAATACTTACATGATACATGATCAACTTGTTCTGATCTATTCCACACCTTTTCTTTCACAATGCTATCTGATGACCAGAACTCACCTTTATCTTTAATAAACACTTAAAATGCAAATGAGCGAGAAATGCGTGCATTCGGGATTATGTTCCCAAGAGTCCAATTAATTGTGTTGTTTACACCCTGGCAGCGCGATCAATGTGAACGACCAAATTTTGTTGAGGCCGCCAAAATATTCTACGGTGTAACTGTTACCAAGGTAAATTGTAACACATCTTGCCCAGTACTACGGAACTATTTAAATCAGGGGGGTGTTTCATAAAACTTGTTATCTATAACAACTGCTAAATTTGTATGACAAAACTTGTTCTCAGCCAGTCAGATGCCAGGATTCAGTAGATTAAAACAGTAGCTTGTAACTTGTTATTGGCATTGAGTTTAAAGAAACAGGGCCCAGAAGTCAATCAATTAATTTCAGCCATGATATTGATAGCTTGGTAATTTAAGAGATAATTTACTGACTCACCGCGGGCTGTAGCACTTGTTTCGTTTCTTGTCTTACGATGGCTTAAGTTGTTTAGATCATTACTCTTCTCAAGTTGGCATGGTATCAATCTGATTAGTAAGGGAATACGGGCATTAGGTATTTATTGAACCGAATGCTTACAGCAATTGCAATCGAATCAAAAAAGAAAATGGTAGAAATGTGTGAAAATGTTCTCCGTGGCTTAGGGTGAGTCCAGCCATCGGAGATGCAAAAGCGTCTCGGGAGCAGTGGTACGAATCAGATTAAAGGCATCGTTTAACAATGTTAAATCTGCGATGCATGGCCCTACGCGTTATCAGTGACTGTGATTTGGTGTAATATTGAAGACCTGAACAAATTGCGCTTCAAAATCATCATGAAGTGTCTCAAAAAAGTAAAAAATCCTTGAGTGACCGGTTTTACCATACTCATTCCCCCCAATAGTCTGTAGTGTTATAAAAACAGTTAGGAAAACGAAAAATGAAATTTCGATTTCGAATCATAAATATCTTGCTAATCAGACAGGTGGATCGGCTTGTAAAAGTCATGAGTTTCCTGACTGACCTGAAGGTTTATAATTATGATTGCAGCATTAGCTAAATCCAGGATTTTGTTTCAGAATCTGAGGCAATGTTACCGAGTCACTTTAAAGAGAACAAAGCCATCGAAAGAGCAAATGAAGCAGAAAAAATCTCCTTCTTCTCATGTTGCCTTTACCGCTCCCTTTCTTAATCTCCTTCTTACATTTTGTTCTCATTTTCAACAATTCGATGGGGGACGGAGATACGTGCCTCGATAACCTCCGCCGCTATTAAAGTGCGTTTCCTTAATTATTCCGTCCTCCATAATCATGCTGATATTCCCTTTCCATGATTTCATCATCACTTAGCACTTACAGATGGCCTTTAAATACCTTTTATCTGATTTATCACCATGGTTACTAGTATTTATGATGGTATAAGATATGACTTTGTCTTACGTTTTCATAAAATCCACTTTCTCGCACGGATTTGACGGTCGTAGCCTT